CTCCCCTGGAGCCCAGTGGTGTGGTGCGTGGCGGTGTAGGTTCAGATCCTGGCTCTGAGGGGCCCGAGGCAAAGGCCTGGGCCTCAGCGCCTGGCTTCCCACCTTGGAGCGGGGAGCACAGCAGGCTGGAGCCCGGGGTTCGGGCCCTGGATGGCTATGCGGGGACGCACCGGCACTCACACTGAAGAAGGGCCCAGGAGGCCGGGTCAGGGGAGCCCCAGTTTCAGCAGCTGCTCCGACCCTGTCTGGGGGCTGTCAGTCTCTGGGCCTCCTGGTGACACCAAGGGCACTCGGCCTGGCGGTGCCTGGCCCTCAGGCCTCCCAGCCTGTGCTCAGGGTCCCGCACCAGCACCTGGGCCGGGGCGGGGCCGCATCTGGGCAGGGCTGACTTGGGGCTTTGGGAGTGAGGGGCCTCCCGCAGGCCCCCGTCTGCTCCTCCCTCCCCCGCCCAGGGACACAGAATCTGCCTTTTCCCTGGGCCCCCCCACCCCGGGGCGGGGACCTGCAGCCTCCGACCCCCGCCCTGGAAGTGCGTTCCAGGGTGTCTGAGGGGCCCGCTGCCCAGCTGTTTTGGAGGCCCCTGCACACCCTCGTTCCCAAGTCGACACCTTCTGCGCTGGGGGAGGCGGCCTTGTGTCAGCAGGCAGAGTGGAGGTGTGAAGGCAGCCACAGTGGCCAGGGGGGCGGCCAGGCCGCCGCACTGCTGGCTGGTAATGAGAATACCACATGGCCCCCGCCGCCCCAACACGGCCTGCCTCCCTTCCGTCGTCCCTACTACGTCCCCAGCGCCGGGCCCCCTGGGGCCTGGAAGAGAAGGAAGGCCTGCGGGGCAGAGGCCAGGCTGTAACCCGGCTCCAGCCTCAGACCTGCTCCCGGGAGCCCTGCCCACCCAGGGTAAGAGCAGGTGCAGACCTGGGGCGGGGGTGGCGAACAAATGGGGAGGCCCACGCTAGGCCACCAAGAGCAGGCCTGACCAGAGCCTCCACCCCCCATGGCCCCTAACAGCACCGGGGTGCAGCGCCCCCCCCGCATCTGACTGGTGGTCAGGGGCAAAGCCCTGGGACACCAGTGAAGGGGCTGGTGGCGGAGGCCCCGGCGTCCTCACCTATGTAACAGGCACAGTGGCACGGGCACCGCTGGCTTCACAGCGCCAGGCTGACCGGTGCCACACAGGCAGACTGGGCCTAAGGCCGAGGTGGCCTTGTGGTTCCTGCCCCCGAGGAGGCCCGGCTGAGCCAGGGCTTCAGGCACCGCGAGCAGGGCCACGGGTGTTCCGAGTGCCGGGGCAACAGCGAGGCTCCATGGTGCGCCCCCGAGCCCAGGGCACCCCGAAGGGTCCCCGTAGCCCCTCATGGAGGTTGCACCTCCCAGCCTCACCCCGATTCTTGGCTCCAGCTCTACAAGTCCCCCAGGATCGGCAGGTCCAGCTCCATTTGATGGAGCCTGTCACGGCTGCCAGAGGCAGGGACGCCTCCCACTGCACCGGCCGTGCGCCCTGGCTTCTCCTTGATCACCTCGGTAAACAAGCCTCTCGCTCTCAGGACAGCCCCTCTGACCTTGGCAAGTTCTTCAGACTCTCCCTGGAATATTCTGGATACAACATCACCTCTCCTAATTTTTCTCTTTTTGGACAAAGCAGCCCTGAGTCCTTCAGCTCCTTCCGAGAACTCTGGCTTCCACCCCCACTGGCCTCCCTCCCGTGAGTTTATCCCCGTCCCTCATAAACTATGGCCCCAGGTGTGACCACATTCTCTGGGTACGAGCAACCAGGCTCTGTGGCTGAGGGCCTTGTTGGCCGCGAACGGAAAGGGGGTCGCATTGGTTTCTCATGCCCCGGATTCCCGGAAGGCAGTGAATGCCAGGCCCTCGCTGAACGTGCTGCTGATTACATGACGCCCCGACCCTGAACTTGGAGGAAGGACACACGGCCCCGTCAATTCCACGCTATTAGATCTGATGGGTTTTTCCAGCCTGTCGGGGTCTCTCTAGATCCCGGCTGTTATCCGGTCCCCTTCTAGCGTGTGGAGCTTACCCAACATTGGGTCAGTTCCTATCATCAGGCTGCTGCCCATGACAAGTCTGGGAGCAGAGCTGGGGGCACGGCACAAAGGACCTTCCTCTCGGGAGCATTCGTCCGTTCGTCTGTGAAAATAACAAATATATTATGAAGTCACTCAACTGACTCTCACCCAGCTCACCTGGCCCCGCTTGTTCACAAGGATACCCGAGGCACTTCTTTATTTAGTGGGCAGGAATTGCGTCTGGCTGCTTACTCATAGCTAATACCCAAAATGACCGTAACTTAAGATGGTAATTTATTTTCTCTCACATTAAAGAAACTTCAGGGGGGTACACAGTATCTGGGCTAGTGGGGCACTTCCATGTTGTCACTGATGCCTTGGGCTTCATTCTGCTCCACCATCCTTAGTGACTTCTGCCCTTGAGATTGCCTCAGGATCACAAAATGGTTGCTGAAGCGAAAACCGTCACATCTGTCTTCCAGGCAGAAAGCCCTGCTTTAAAGAGCTTTTCTAGAAGCTCCCTCCAATACTTCCACTCACATTTCATTCGCCATTCCATCAGCAAGAGAGGCTGGGCGCTATAGGTTTTTTAGCTGGGCATGTAACCATCCACAATAATACAGGCTCCTCGTATTAAGGAACGAAGAAAGATACAGACTATATATCACACACGTTGTACGGACAGCGGCGTCCCTGCCACACTCGTGAACATTCTACTGACCGTGTTTCCTAGATCTAGACCCCGTCTATTTCCTCAGCAGGTAAAGGGTGGGGCTGAGACTCTAAAACCCAGATCTGCCTGATCCCATGGCCTGGCCCAGTGGGACTCCATCTTCTTTCTGTGTTGTGGATAAATTAGTTTCCCCTCCTCCCGTAGAGCAGCTACGAGAAAGCACACCACAGGGGCCCTGACCGACGCTACTCCAGGTCTGTCATCACGTCATCACAATGTGACGGTGGTCGCAGGAGCCATCGCGGCTCCAGACTGTCCTAAAACAAGTTCTGAGGAGAAAGGGATGTGATTTCATCCCTGAAGGTCTATCTGCACCTCCCGCCACTTTCCCCCCCTCAGTTGAAACTACCCTCAATGACTGAAATGAACATTGAAATGAACTGTCACCAACGATGAGCTACATATGTCCTGACAGGGAATGCCCTGAAAGAGGCTGCTGAATGAAAAAAGAACAAATAACAGGCAGGATGTGCAACGTGCCATAATGATTACCTCCTCTCACTGTGTGTCTTCGAAGGATACACGCCGGTGGACGTGAACGCACGGACCAGGCCTGGAAAGTACCTGACACTCCTTCAATAATAGCTGCTCCCTTCGGGCGATTCCAGCACTCTCTCTTGTGTTTCCATGTCCAACAAAGAGAACATATTCATCATGTAATTTGTGTGACTAGAAATTAATGACTAAAAACAGCCATAAAATACTTCCAGGCTACTGATGATGTCAGGCTGATTCCGGCCAGCCTGCACCTGACACCTGGGGAACACCTTGCGAAGTCCCACCCCCAGAATGCCATCTGCCGCGTCCCCACCCGAGTCCTGTGCGCGGTTCCAGGCCTGGCAGCGACCTCTGCGCCTCTGGCCAGAGCTCTACAGACGTCGGCCCTCGTGAGGCCCTTCGCCTCCGCGTGAGGCCTGTTTTTGAAAAGATCCCAAAGAACACAGGGGCCTTTTTTAAACTGTAATTATTGCTGAGGGGCGAGAGGTTTTACTTCATAAGCCTCACCACGTCCAAGTTTATGCTCTGACACTAGAACAGTCCTGTGGCGCAGATGTGTAATTATTATTCCTGTTTCATAGGAGCAGGAAGAGGAGCAGAAAGCTCAGGCAGGGGAAGGGCTCTGTCCCAGGGCACACAGCTAGTGTGGGGCGGCCTCCCAGTTATACAATGGCCTGCTCACTCCTCTTTCCCACACAACTGAAACCTCACGTGGGCAGAGGGCACAGCTAGCTTGTTCACCCTGGTGTGACTCACAATGACCAGTGGCTAACTAAATATGAATTAAAATGAAAAATGCCAACAAGCATCCTGAAATGTAAGTGCCTTCTTTATGAAATGATAGCTCCAAAAACATTTAGCTCACTTGCCAAGTCCACACTAAGTGGTTTGGTGGACGGTTCCACTTATTTCTGGGAACCTTCCCAGGTGGTGGTATTTTGTAGTATTGCTGAGGACAAGGAAAGTTCAGCCTCAGGGGAATTAAGTCAGTTGCCCAAAGTCACAAAGCAAGTAAAGAGGATCTGACTATGGCCGGCTTCGGGGGCCCACCTTCCCCATTTCTGTACCCTCTGCACCCCATTCATTCATTCTCCTCCACGACGCCCCGTTCTGCTTTTCAGAAACAGCAATTAACTGTGGGCAGTGAGATGATTTTCTCCGTGTCGCTCAGCAAATCTGCAAGCGGGGGGTTCCAAAGAACCCAGGAAGCGTCCACCTGTGTGTTCCCCGCCCCCCATCCCTGACGGCAGGTCCCTCGGGCGTGTCTCACAAGCACACTTGCAGGCCCTGGGTTACGGGCCACAGCCCCCTGGGGACTGGTGATCAGAGAGGCGGCCACTCTTTGCAGGGGCCCATGAGTCACTCGTAGGGGCAGTTTGGGCGCTGGGACGACGGCAATGCCCAGCGTGGTCGGACTCCTGGGTACTCACTCTGCGCAGTGGACAGTGGACGGGGCGGGGTGGGTGGGAACCCGGTGAGAAGCTTAGCAGCTCCATCCAGATGCGAATTGTCCCTCCCACACTTCCCAGGCTGCAGGGGCCTCCATTAGAGCCTCCGAGGAGTCAGAATCCACACCTCCGCAAATGGGCCCGCTTTCCCAGGGCCCCCCCTGCCCAGACCTTCCCTGGGCTCTGTGGGTTTTGACACCTCTCTGTAACCTGGCGGGGGGCCACCTCGCACCTTTGGTCCAGATAAAAGCTCAGGCCCGGAGGTGGCTGGTCCAGCGTCCCGGAGCCCGCGGCCCGGCCATGGCCCAGTCCCCTGCTCTGAGCACCCTCGACCACTGGATCTTACCCCAGGGCTGGGGCTGGGCTGGGCACTCGGACTCCACGTCCCCCGCCTCCTCCTCGGATTCGTCGGGGTCGTGCCCCTGCGACGGTGCCCGCGGCCCCTCGCAGGCCCCTCCCCCGGTCCGCTGCGCCCCTGCCCCAGAGGCCGCCCAGACGGCGCCGGGACGCGCGCGCTCCGGGCCGGCCGTCGGGCAGCGGCAGAGCGCCAGCGAGCGCGAGAAGCTGCGCATGCGCACGCTCGCCCGCGCCCTGCACGAGCTGCGCCGCTTCCTGCCGCCGTCCGTGGCGCCCGCCGGCCAGAGCCTGACCAAGATCGAGACGCTGCGCCTGGCCATCCGCTACATCGGCCACCTGTCGGCCGTGCTGGGCCTCAGCGAGGAGAGCCTGCGGCGCCGGCGCCGGCGACGCGGCGACGCGGTGCTCGCTCGGGGCTGCCCGCTCTGCCCCGACGGCGGCCCCGCGCAGGCACAGCCGCAGGCGCAGGCGCGCGGGTCGGGCCTGGGTTCGACCGCCCCCGCCGCTGGGGCCTGGGGGTCCCCGCCCGCCTGCCCCGGAGCCCCAGCTGCGCCCGAACGTTTGAGAAGCAGGGTCCCCGACGTGGGTCCCTGGGTCTCACCCTCTCACTGCCCCGGGATGCAGCCGCTTCCGCAAGTGTCCCAAGGGAGAGCTCCGGACGCGGCCCTTTGGACGCCGCCCCCAGCGCGTTCCGGAACGCAGACACCCCCAGAGCCGGGGACCCAGGCCACGTCCTGGGCGCTGCTGCCCGCCAACGCGGAGCCTTCTGCAATGTACCAGGTACTGTCCCCAGGCTTCCCGTGGAAACGGACGCGGTGGGTAGGCTCTAGTCTGCAGACGATCCCTTATTTTTTAGATCCTCATGATCTAATCCAACGCCGGTTGGGGGTGGAGAGGGCGCAGACCTCCTTGGGGAAAGTGGGGCCCTGGACAGGTAATGCCCCCACCACCACCTGGAGGTTATCACCCCTGTGGCAGAGGGAGGCGCCCTCAAACTTGCCTCTTCCACCCTGGTCTCTGGAGGTGGCAGGGTCCATGGTCCAGGTGCTCCAGTAAGGGCTGGGAGGAGGGCGGGAGGCCTCGCGGCCCCAGGGTCAGGGGCTTCCTGATCAGTGGGCTTTGAGCTTAGTGACACGTGTTCCTTCAAACTTCAGTCATGCATGAAGCCCATGAAAGAATGACTCATGGCCCATAGAATAGCATATTAATAACCACAATGTATTGAATGTTTACTGTGTCCCCATCACCATTCTTGGCACTGTCTATGAACTGACTGCTCGTCTGTCTTTTAGGGTGTCCCTGTGTCTCCCGAGACCTATCTGTTGCCAGAAACCCCACCGCTCCTGCCGGACCCAGCATGCCAGAGACTCCAGCCTCAGACCCAGTGGGGATACTGGGGCCACGGTACAGAGGTGCTCCCCAGCTCCGAGGACCAGGGACCAGGCCCTGCCTTCCAGTTCGGTGATGAAAACCCTCTCCAGAGCTCAGGCCTGCAGCTCAGTGGCTGCCCTGAATTTTGGCAAGGAGACTTGGAGGGGGGCCACCTGAGCATCTTCTACTAATGGCCTTGCCTGTCCCCTTTTGAGCGAGGAATCAAGCCTGTAGTGTGGGCCCTCCTCATTTAAGACATCAGTGGTTTTCAAGTATCCCTGTAGCCAAGGGTCCCTGTCCCGAGTGATGTCTTTCGTGCAAGCAGTGTTTGAAACAGGTGGTTGGTGGCCTCCCTGGCTGGAGTTGGGGCTGGCAGTGCCTTTCGCTCCTGAACACCCTCCAGGACGGCCAGTGCTCTGAAGAGCACAGCTGCTTGACCACCAAGCTGGCAGCTGGGCCTGATGGGGGGATGAATTCGGGGAGTGGGGTGGGGGGAGGGCAGAAGTTTATATGCTTTGGTTTTGCTTCTTTAAAAAAAAAAAACACAACAAAAATGTGCTTTGGTATGTTTTTCTTCGATCAACTTGAGTTCTTACGGCCCCTGGGAAGGGAAGAATGTTCCCATCCCGTGGGGAACAAGTCTTGCCCCACCACGGTTGGCATGGGCCCTCACTTGGCAGTTTGACTATATCTGTTATGCGGGGTCTCCACCTGGCCTGTTGTGCAAGGGGACCCGGGGGGCTGACACCTGGACCCCTTCGCTTGCCTCACGCCCTATCCTGCTGCTCTTTTCCATTGTGGGTGCATTCCTACCCACCCATAGGCCTCTTTATTACATGCAATTGTTTCCAAAGGTGCGTGTGAGCGGCCCCCAAGGTACTAGGCCAGTGTATTCGTTGGCTTGGGCTGCCCTAACAGAAGACCACAGACTGGGCGGCTAAACATCAGAAATGTGTTTCCTCACAGTTTTGGAGGCTAGAAGTTCAACGTCAAGGTTATCGGTAGGGTTGGTTTCCTTGAGGCCTGCCTCCTTGGCTTGCAGAGGGCCACCTTCTTGCTGTGTTCTCACGTGGCTGCCCCTTGGTCTCCGTGTGTGTGTGTCTGTGCCTGTGTCTTACTCTCCTCTTCCTCTAAGAACACCAGTCAGAGGGGACAAGGGCAGCTCTGTTCTCCCAGGTCCCCTCAAGAGGCGTTCCTCGAGGGGGTGGCAAGGCAGAGGTGAGAGGCTGCCACCACCCCAGCTGGAGTGGCTTCAGATGAGACGCTGCTGGAGTCAGGGGAGCAGGGCCCCGGGGAATGGGACCAATCGTCACCCCTGTCCTCCGCTGAGAGGGAAGGCTTAGCCCTGCCCCCACCCACCCGGTCTGTGGCTGTGTCCCAGGTGGGCTGCTGGGAGCTGCACCTCTCTGCTAAGTGACTGGCAGGGGAGGAGAGAAACTGATTCCAGTGCCCGGGGTGACTGGTCTACCCACACCTTCCTGGGGCTCCCGGTCAGCGTCTCCGAGTCTGGACGCTGGCTAAGTGCCTCATAAAGGCTTTTCAGTGACCCCACAGTGTAGAGGGCACGCTTCCTGAGAAGGCTCCTGGAGGGTGGGGAGGTGCAAGGGCGCGCTGTGCCCGGGCTGCTGCTTGCTGACCCTCAGATCCTGCCTCCCCTGTGGACAGGGGGCGAGCAGGTGGGCCCCCACTCCGTGTGCGACCTTTAAGCACGGTGCTGCAGGCAGGTCTTTGGCTCTGTGTGTCTCTGCCACCACCTGGGAGCTGGTTTCCTCCAGCTACACAGGGCGTCACGAATGCCAGGGTGGTAAGCTGCCAGGTGGCCTGAGCATGTGACGTGTGGCTGTCACAGGCCCTGTCCCCGCTCCAAATGGAGACAGGCTGGCTCCACTCTGGCAAGGGCAGGAAGGGCCAGTCTCCGGTCTCCTCCCAGCTCTGCTGAACTGTGACTTAACCGTCCAGAGCCTGAATTCCCTTATCAGCAAAGCCTAGATGAAGGCTGTCCTTATCTCTTGGGACTGTTGAGAACCAAATGAGACAATGCGCATAAGTCAGGGCAAGGCACAGAGACTAGGATCCTTGCCGACTTCTCCCGGGAGGCCAGGGACTGGAGATGGCAGAGCTGACCCCTCCCCCGGCGGGGACCACCTGAGGGCTCCAGTCCTGTGAAGGTCAAGTGCCAGCCGATGCTGCTGGGGATGCTGCTGGGCACTGGCGACAGGAAGGACTGGCCCAGAGGAGACTTGGGTTGGTGCAGGGACCCTGCCCCGCCCCGGCTGGCCCCGCCCCACCCTTTGAAGTGCGGACACCAGTGGAGAACAGGGGGAGCCTTCCTCCTGAAGGGGAGAGGCAGTGAGGGAAGAGGGCTCGTGGGGCCTCGAAGCCGGAGACAGGAGACAGGACCATGACAATGGCCAGCTCATCTTACATGTCAGGCCAAGAGGCAGTATGTGACTCCTTCCTTCCACACACCAACCCTAGGACCAGGCTTCTTTACTGGGCAGGTGATAGAACCAAAGCCTAGGGCTTGTGGTCACTTGTCTGAGCATCAGTGGCTGGACCGTGACCTGAAGCCACACCTCCGGCCACCCCCCCAGCCCCCCCAACCCCCCGCCCCAGGCCCCAGCTGTCAGAGCCCTGCAGGCCTTGGAGCGGCCCCGCCCTCCCTCCCACCTGGTGCTCAGCCGAGGCCCAGGGGCCCTTCCTACCGCCTAGCTCTGTTGGCCAAGAAATGCCCAGCAAGTCCAAGGAGGGCCATGGAGCCCATGGGTCCCAGGCTGTCCCTTCCCCAAGGTGATCAAAAGGGCACCTGCCTTTTTCAGGATGCTCCTCTACAGATTGATGTCGCCTCCACCCACCAGGGAACCCCAAGAGGCGGCAGGACAGGCCCTCGGCCAGCACGTGGTCACACTCAGCCCCGGACCCAGGGTTTGCTGCCCTCGGTACCAGCCCTGTTCCCTCCGTGTCCCGGGGATGCTGGCTGTGGCACAAGAAGGGGGTACTGTCAGGACCGGCTCCGGCCTGGCGCCAAGCCCAGCTCCCCCCGCTCTGCCCTGTGAGCACCGCGCCCGGTGCCTGCCCTGCACCTCCCACGGTTCTCCAGCACCCAGCGACTCGGGCCCGTCCTGGGAACACGGGTGCAATGAACGTGCAGGCAGACGGCGCACACAGGTGTTCTGCAGGGGGGCCCCAGAGCCCACAGTGCTGCCTGTGCACCCAGCTTCCCTCCAGCCCATCTCCCCAGCTGTTGTGCCAACCCACTCCTGCTCTGGTTTAGTAATGAGTCTGGAAGCTCATTTAGAAATCCTTTATCTACATTTTCTCTTAGAAAAAAATATACAGATCTGGTACCCTGTTGAGTCCCCAGGTTCAGGGTCTTCATGGGAAGGCAAGAGAGGGTGCAGGGCAGCTCCCCAAGGCTGTGCACAGTCCACTGAGGGCTCCTGCTCCTCTGGCCCTAGAGCTGGGCTTCCCTGAGATCAGCCCCAGGGCCCTGGGTGCTATTGGCACGAGGGGCAGGGGCTGGGAGGTGCTTGGACAGTCTGGCCATCAGGAGCTGGGCTGGCCCCACATGCAGAGTGGAGAGATCATGGCCTAGGAATTAGTCGGGGAATGGGGGCCCCGCAGTGGGCCACAGGGACAGATGCCCAGGGTCATCTCACATGCGGGCCAGGTGGCGGCACAGAGCGGAGACTATCGGCTGTTCTCTGTGAACCAGTTGTACACCGCTTCCTTGTTTTCCTTCACCCACTTGATGTTGGCTTTGGTCTTCTCCAGGGCTTGCTCCAGAGCCCGGGTGGCTGAGCCGAAGCCTGTGCCCGAGTTGTTCTCCTTGAACCGCTCCAGCTGCCGGGAAGAGGGAGACTCTCAGCCCAGGCTGGGAAGGGGAGTCCCTTTCCTCTGTCCTCCCGCTCCACGATGTGGCTGGGAACCGGGACCACAGCCTGCTCTCCAGGACAGGAAGGGCCAGTCCTTCCTCGCCCCTCGGGCCAAGTCCTGACCTAGCACAGAGCTCGAAGATGACAGGACCCCCAAGCTTAAAGCTGGCTCCCGGGTGTTATTTAGCCTTCAGTGTGTGGGTCTTCATTGAGCTGACTCTCCGTTTTTAACTGAATTACGATTTCAACCCAATCAAGGGAGGACAGAGGGACAAACTAAACACACACCACAGGAAACAACCAGCCACATTCAAAATGTGCCCATTTCCATACTATAATGCAAATGACCCAGCTGCTTCAACAAATAAATGGTATTTTTTTTTTAAAAAGGAGATTTTACAGATTAAAAGATGTATTAGTACTGGAGGTTGGAATTAGGGCAATTAGACATGAAAGGAAGAAGTAAAACTATATCTACTTGCAGATGACCTGATTTGTATATAGAAAATCCTAAGAAATCTATAAAAAGAAAACTTATGAGTTCAGCAAGTTGCAGGACATGAACAATATGTAAAAATTGACTGTATTTCTACACACTAGCAATGAAAAATCTGAAAATGAAATTAAGAAAAAAGCTTCATTTACAACAGCATAAAAAATAAATTGAGAATAAGTTTGACAAGAGAAGTATATAAGACTGGTATGCTGAAAACTATAAAACATTGTTGAAGGAAATTAAGAAGACCTAAATAAAAGGAAAAGAGACCCAAATAAATGTACATTAATAGACTGGAAGAGCTCATATTATCATGGCAATAGTCCCCAAACTGATCTACAGATTATAATGCAATCCCGATCAAAGTTCCAATGGCCCCTTTTTGCAGAAATTGGCATGCAATCCTAAAATGCATAAAGAAAGTCAAGGGACTCAGAAGAGCCAAACAACCTTGAAAAAGTACAAAGTCGTAGGACTCACATTCCTGACTTCAAAACTTATTATAAAGCTACAGTAATCAAGACAGAACGGCACTGGCGGAAGAATGGACAGACAGATCAATGAAAGAGAACTGAGAGTCAGCTGATTTTCAACAAGGGTGCCAAGACCATTCGATGGGGGAAAGAACAGCCTTTTCAACAAGTGGTGCTGGGACAACTGACGAGCCAGCAAAGGAATGAACTTGGACCCCTACCTCACCCCATATACAAAATGAAGTAAAAACTGACCAACGTCCTAAGTGTAAGACCTCAAACAACACGACACTTAGTGAAAAAACACAGGTGTAAATCTCTGTGACTTCGGGGATTCGGCGATATTTCTCCGCTATGATCCCTAAAGCACAAGCAGCAGCGATGATGACGACGGCGAAAGTAGAAAGTTGGATTTCATCAAAACAACACACTTACGTATCAAAAACTACAGGGACGCGACTGGGGCACGCGAGGCGGGTAAAAGGGGACTCAATGGTAATGGGGGAAAAACTACAGTAAAGATTTAACTAAAACTGAAAAGGAAGAAAAAAGACACTACTGGCGGAGGCTGGGCAGCTCAGATGGTTAGAGCATCGTCCCAATACAACCAAGGCTGCAGGTTCGATCCCTGCTCGGGGCGCATACAGGAAGCAACCAATGAGTGCATCGATGAGTGGAACAACAAATCCATGTTTCAAAGGAGTGACACAGGCTCCAACATGGATGGACCTTGAGAACATCATGCTAAGTAAAAGAAGCCAGACCCAGAAGGCCACGTTGTATGAGTTCTTTCTGTGAGATATCCAACACAGGCAAAAGGATGGAGACAGACAGGAGGCCATGGTTGCCTGGGGCTGGGAAACAGGCAATGGGGAGGGACTCTTGGTTGGTGCAGGGTTTCTTTTGGGTGTCATAAAAATGTCCTAGAATTAGATGGTGGTAATGGTTGCGTATCTTGTAAATATACTAAAACCACTTAAAATAGTGGTTTTTAGGATACATAAACTGTATCTCACATTTCAAAAAAGAAATCAACCTAAATCAATGAGTTAACTTTGGCTTCCAATGCAAACATAGCGTATCAATGGCAAAAGGAATTTAAAAAAAAAAAAAGAGAGAATCTGAAAAGAGGCTTGGTATAAGATAATTATTAATTTTCTTAAGTATGCTAATGACAGTGCAATTATGTTTTAAAAATTCCTTTGTTTTAGATATGACTAAAGTAATTACAGCTGAAATTACATGTTATCAGTGGTTTGCTTGAAAATTAGAAACCCCCAGAAAGTATCGGGAAGATGTTGGTAACTGTTCAGTCTGAGTAATGGGTACATGAAGGTTCATAATGTTACTCTCTTTCCTTTTTGCCTGTACAAAGATGCCAAGGTGAACTCTCCTGATTGAACTGTCACCACTTAAAAAGTGTGGGCACCCAGCTTCCTCTGTTCATGGGGGAGGCCTGACCACAAGGAGCCCAGTTCCCTGCGACCACACTCAGTGGGGACTGAAAGGCGGACACCTCCCTTAGGCTGGGGTGACCCCGGAGCCCAGGGCTTCTTACCTCCTGCAGCTCTTCCTGGGTAGAGAATCGCCGAGTGATGGCCAGGATGAGGTTGGAGAAGGAGAAGGAGCCACCACCGTAACTGTAGGGCAGGGAGAGAGAGAACTGTGAGCGGGGGAGGCACTAACACTCCAGTGTGTGGCGGGCGATGCTCCCTCCTCACAGCTGCCCTGTGATGGCTCCATCTTGTAGATGAGATCAAAGGACACACCCACGGAGACTCAAGCACAGGTGTCACTGCCGTGTCCTTGCTCCCCTCTCTCCAGAGATCATTCCCACAGTCAGACTTTTTCTTTCCTCCAAGCGGGGGAAAAAGGAGGGCCCATCCCCCACCTGGTCTTTCGGTCCCTGCCCACTCCTACGCAGGTCCCACCCCGCCGCTCCCAAGGCGGCGGTGCTCCGGGCCCAGGGACCACCCTCAGGGCAGCCCAGACCACGCCCTCAGAGGACTCACTCTTCAAAGAGCTTGTTCCAGTTGGCCTGGACGAAATTCCAAGCCAGAGACTGCCCCATGACGTTGCTGGCAATGCTGCTGATGGTGGAGGTGGCATCCTGCTTCCGGATGAGGTTAGGGTCCAGGGTGCGACTCAGGTACCTGCAGGAGCATGACGCTGCGTGGGCGACCACTTCAAGGGCTGCAGCTCCATGATTCGACAGAGGACCCCGCCCCCCCCCCCCCCCCGGCCCCGGCAGAGGGCCCACCCCCCTCCCAAGCCCTCCTGACTCTTTGACAGCCCTGGGCATGCGGGGGCTCAAGACGCCTTGGTCTCCCCTCCCTCTTGTAAATGAGACACTCAATGCCCCAAGCAGGGTCACGGGCTAGGCCACATGTCGTGCCTGAGGTAGACCTGGCGTGTGACAAACATCTGATGGTCAAGGAAGAAAGGAAGGAGTACTGGTGCCACAAGCCTGCCACCAGGTAGGGCAGTCACTCCTGTCTGTGACCCTGAGGGTGGCCTTTTTTTGCTGGGGTCCAGGAGATGGCATCTGAGGCACCCAGTGGGAGCCAGGGGCCCTCATCAAGGGCTTGGGGGATGCTCAGCTGGACCTCCAGAAGGACTGAGTCCCACAGGGCCGCAGCCCTTCACAGAGAGGGAAACTGAGGCGTTGTCATGTAAAGACTGAGAGGCCACAGCAGGGCAAAGCACAGGGCATGAGCCCAGATCTCAGTTTGTATCTGGTATCTGGGCTCTATCACTCATTGAAGCTGCCAGACCTTGGGCAAGGTGCTTGGCTTCTCCGAGCCTTGGTGCCCTCGTCTATGAAATGGGAGCACCCTGCTCCGCTGCTTGGCTTTGCGGGAAGCCCCTGAACAAGAGTGTGGAGGCGCCTGTGAGGTGTCCTGGTCCTCCGTGGGGAGGGCAACCCATCCAGCTCCGCCGGCCGGTCCTCACCTGGCCAGGATCCAGGACTTCTTGCTGCAGGCCAGGGCCGCTCGGAGCTTGTCAGCTTCGTTCACTAGTGTGGCGTTCCGGAATTGTTCCCAGGCGAAGTCCCACTCCTTCTCGCCACCCTGGGCGATAGCGTTGCAGTAGACGGTGGACCGCAGGTTGGGGTGGATCCTGGCATGGGGTGGGCAAGAGTCAGCAGTAGAGTGGCAGCAGGGAGGGTGGGAGCAGGGCCCAGTGAGGACCGGGCTGCGGGCCTGCGGGATGAGGGAAGACCGGGGAGGAGCTGGGGACACTCACGGGTTATTGTTGGGGGTCTTCATCCACTGGGCGAAAAGGTTCGACACCATGACCTGGCATGCGTCAAGCCCACTGGAGCAGGCGGTGCTGATGGCGTTGACCTCATTGTACCTGCCCCGGGACGACACCTGGTCAGCGGCCTGGCCCAGACCCCAGCCCAGACTCTCCACCTGACCCGTGACTCCTGCTTTAAAAAGCAGGGTGAGGTGCTGAGGCTGCAGCCCACCCCATCCTCCGGGTCCCCCTTTGCTCTGTGCCTTTGACAGCTGGGGGCGCCACAGGGCCGGGCACAGGGTCCAGCCCCAGCTCCCACACCCAGAATTTCAATGGCCAAGTTGGGGAGGGGACCTCAGCGCTGTGGTTTGGTCCTTTGAGCAAAGAGGCCAGATGGGCCCACAGCCCAGAGACTCCGGCAGGGCCTCCCGCTCCCAGGCGGGCCACTCCCTGCCTCGTGGTCCTAGTCTGGCCAGGAGCTGGGGGGCCAGAGAGGGACACTGGGCAGGTGTCGCTCGCAACTGCCAAGGTCAGGGTGGCTGGGCCCCCCGTGACCTCCAGACACAGAAGAGGTCATACTCACTGGTCCATCAGGTTGTCTGGGCGCACAGTCCAGTTCTTGGTGACATTTTCAAAATGAGTGAAGAGGGGCGTGACCTGCTTCTTCAGGTAATTCTGAGGAAGGGAAAACATGAATAGCTTCCAAGGAGAGACTTGAGCCTGACCTGCCTGGAGCCCCAAGGAGCCCGTGAGGCGGATGGGCAGGTGTCACAAGGGCTCATGGCTACAGAGGCTCAGACGGTGCTTGGAAGGGCCCGCACCAGCCCCGGTTTTAACAGCCGATGTCAGGTTCCCCTTCCTCAAAGGCTCAGCAGTGCTAACACTGAGTGTCGCCGTTTCTTAAAGCGCAGTTCCTGCATTGGTGTGTTCCCTCCCCCTTTTTCTCTTTCCTACTAAGGTATCGAGAAGTCTGCACACTGCACTTCCTACCTGGCATTGTGCTATAAGCCCCACCCCACACTATTGGAATCCTTGGCAGGCCCTGACTGGGCAGCTCCGTTGGTTAGAGCAGCCTCCCCAATAGGCCAAGGTGGCGGGTTTGATCTCTGGTCAGGCAACGAATGCGTAAATAAGTGGAAAAACAAACTGATGTTTTTCTTTTTTCTTTTCTTTCTCTCTCCCCGCTCCCTCCCTCTCTCTCGCTCTCATATCAATAAACTTTTTAAAAAGCATTAAAAAGTTTTAAACATTTTTGAAAATTAAAAAGAAAACTTTGGAAAAGCCTGGGATGAATATCCTGTACGAGTTCAGAGAGGACATTGCACAGGATGCTTGGGGCCAGAACAGCCCTCGAAGTTGGCAGATATGACAGACGAAGTGAACGCAACCTAAGAGGCAAGTACAGGGCAGGTCCCAGGAGGCAGAACAAAAAGCCAACAAGCTAGAAAACAGAAGAGGAAGAACACAGGAGGACCAATCCCCGCCTCCCCTCCCCCCCCCCAAAAAAAAGGAGAGGAAGAAAGTTTAAAGGAGCAATGCAAAAATGTCCAGACTGAAAGGGCAGAAGGATGAGAAAGGGCCACCAGGATTGAAGAGCCTGTGTGCTTCCAGAAGGGGAAATGGGCCACTTTCAAAGAACCGGAAAAAGGACAGGTTCTGGGTTTCTCAGGAGAAAGGAAATGTCAGCACAGCAAGATCAGACATTTCTGAGGAGTAATTTCCAACATGGAAACCCTACACCCAGGCGCGCTCTCACTCCAGTGTGAAGGTGGGATAAAGGCATCTCAGACAAGCTACCCCAGAACTTCCACCTCTCATGAACCCTTTCTCAAAACTCCTGGAAGATGAGCTCCCCATGTCCCATCCCGCAGCCCCATGAGACAGAAAACTCAGGGCTCAGAGACCAGGGGTGCCCCAGGGGACTGGAGCAAAGCTGCTGCATTATCTGATGCATTTACAGACGACAGAGAAAAAGAAAACACACTCATCACGCTCTGTGTGGCTCAGCAGACAACGCTGTGGGCGTAACCGCCACAAAGTGAATGCGATACACTGAGTTGACCCAATATTGTGACTGAACCACATTAAGAAGATGAGGTGAATCCAAGGTAGGCAGGTTAATGAGCTAGGATGAGTGAAAACCTCATTTACCGTAATACCTCATTTACCATCATAGGAATTTAATAATGTGAACAATGTTAAATAGAAAAATGATCCCTTCCAGTATGATGCAATGGCTACATAATATTCCATCAAATGGATATCCCATTAACTAACTCCGACAGTTGGACACCTATGTGTTTCTGTTTTCTTGTCTTTCATTAACCATCACACATCCTTGTACATCCAGCTTTTCCTTCTGGACTCCCTGGTGGGAGTCTGAGCGGCCCCTGCTTTAGAGCCACGAACACCTGCATCTCCCTCGCCTCTGCCCCATGGGTGGGCGGGCGGGCTAGACAGGGACCGGGCTGCTCACCTCACAGCGGGGATCACTCGGGCGGCAGAGGGTTACCTGAGGCCACACACCTGCTAAAGGACAGGCATCCCGCCCCCCCAGCGCAGCGGCTCTCTCTGAAAGGGCTGACTTCCGAAGCGGCACACCCTGTTGGAAGCCTGGGTGCTCCCCTTGCCCTTCGCAGCCCGCCCAGCTCCTCAGTCTCCGCTGCTCTCCCCCACCTCCTCCACCATTCCTGCTGGTCTCACCGCCCTGCCCAGCCCGTGCCCACAGAGGGCCCGCGCGGTGTCAGCCTGGGGGGGCTCACCGCCACAGGCAGTATCCCCATAAACCTCCTAATGGCGCCGCGTCGGGCACTGGGCAGGCTGGCCCTGTCCCCTGCCAGCCACGCCCCTCCGCACCTGCATGGAGGCATACTCGGCCTCGGAGCGGTCCAACATGTACTTGAAGTAGCTCAGGCTGCTCAGGGCGGCCTCCCAGGGCAGGTATTCTTTCTCGTTGATCAGGAAGAGGGTGTTGTTCAGCGCCAGGGTAACAGGGACCATGTGGGCACTGGAGGACAAACAGAGGGGCTGAAGTAAGCACCCCACCCAGTCCTCTCTGGGAACCCCAGCCCCTCTTGAGGCCTGAGGTCCCAGAGCCCCAACTGGGCCAGCTTCAGTGTTCACGGGGGCGGGGGACCTAGGCACAGGGTAGTCCCGCAAACAAGGCCAGCCCAGGCCCAGCCCTCACCCACTGCCAACCACAACCCCTTGCTTCCTACCCCCATTTTACAGATGAGAAAACTGAGGCTCAGAGAAGTAAAGTGACTTAACTAAGGCCACAGAGCTCACAGAGACAGAGCTTAGATTCGAAAGGACAGAAAGCCTGTGTTCTCTCCTCAGCCGCTGCTTCTCTGATTCACACGGCCCTCTGGGTCTTTCTCCCTCCCCCTCCTCAGGCTGTCCGTGCACACTGGGTTCGTCAACGTCCGCATCTATGGGTGGCATCTGTTAATCCAGGCTGAACGCGCCTGTGCTGTCCTTCCCAGGTATTTTTTAGCACCTAGCACAGCAACTTGGCCCACAGCTCTCAGGAATAGCTTGGTGCTGTGCAGGGCAGTGTGACTGTGGGGCTGGACGGGCCTGAGTCTGGCTGCCCACAGCCCAGTCCTGCGGCCTCAGGCAAGGCACTCAGACTCTGAGCCTCGGGTTCCTCATCTGGGAAATGGGGCCCCAGGGAGGGGTGCACGGGGCGCAGGGAGCCTGCTGCCCTGGGCCTGGCTCACGGTGAGGGCAGCGACTTCCCACTATGGAGAGACCCACTTGCTCAAGTCACCAGGCCTCCCTGGCAGAGCCGCTCTGGGCCTGAGGAACAATGCTTACCTGGCCAGGTCGAAGGCATCGTGGATGACCTGTGCCCGATTGATGACAGGGATGACCTAGAAGGGGCGACAGAGGGTGTGACCTCAGGGTGTGACCTCGGGCTGGGGCCTGGGGCAGTGGACAGGGTTGGGGGAGCAGACACCCACCGACAGGTTATTCCGCAGCTGACCCTGAATCTTCCTCCAGTTGTCTTCATCGTAGTTCACCTGGTAATAGCCCGTCACGTTGATGTTCAGCAGGACCCATTCATCGGCTCTGGTTTTGAACAGTTCCTCGGCTGTGCGGAGAGACCGGAGCTGGGGTGGGGCTGCTCAAAAGGCCCTAGGCTGACCCTTGACCTTCCTCTTTCCAGGCCGGAGCGGCACCACAGCAGCCCGGTGGCAGCTGGCCCGCAGGGCTCTGGGGCAGCACCGCGGAGGGAGGGGAAGGGGCTTCGTGCAGGCTGCCTTGCCCGGCTCTGCCTCTGGTCGGCCAGTGACTCAGCCAGGCCACGCGCCATGTCCGAGCCTCAGTGCCTGCCCTGCCTCCCACGGGCCGCGTGTGCCCAGGCCAGTGCCAGCTACCTGGACATCTCTGTTCTCACACGTCCGGTCCACGCAGACTCCCCTCCAGTCAGCCCCCCGGCGCTGCCCATCGCTTCCATGGGGCTTGGCATCCCTCCTCCCTGCTCTCCTTCACCCTGCCATCCCTTCTCCTGGCAGCCAGAGGGTGCCCTTCCACACCTGCAGCCAGACCCAATCATTTGCCACTTCCCACCTGCCCTAGCTCCTCCTGGCCTGAGGACATGGTGACTCCTGCATCCTGCGTTCTCTGCTGCCTCTGTGTCTTGCACTTGCTATTTCCTCTGCCTGCAATGCTTTTCTCTGCCACCGTCAGCCTAGCTAATGGCTGTTTTTCCTCCAAGACCCAGGCCACCTCCTCCAGGAAATCTCCCCTGAGCTCTCCAGGAAGTTGAATCCCCTTACTCCCAGAGCTCCTGGCCCTTGTGCCCACACAGCCCGGAGGCCATGCATGCCTCTGTTATAGCACTCAGAACAAAGAGCTCTGGACAGTTATCACTGCTTGTCTTCCTTCCCTTTGTCGGCAGCTTTGGCCTAGGCAGAGGACAACTTGCCTTGACCTTGGTTTCCCCTGTGCCTGGCAGAGTGGGGCCGCACACACCACATGCCGGGCATTGTTTAAAACATTTCGCATGGATTGTCTCCTTCAATCCTCAAAGAATTCAATGGGGAAGATATTGTTCTTGGCCCCATTTTACAGATGGAAAAATCGGACCAAACAGGGATGGTAACTTGCCCAGGGCCACGCCACTGGGTGGCAGGAGCAGAGATGACAACCAAAGAAGTCAGCTCCACATGGGGAGTAAACTGAGGCTGCCATAACCCCCGGCACAGGGGCCAGGCACTGGGTGCTTGGGGTGGGGCTGCTGTCCGCGAGGGCGACGCCAAATTACTTTTTGTGGCTTCCTCCAGCCAGTAGTCCTTCTGCACGGCACCGTGTTTCATAGATGAGATGTGAACGATCCACTGGTAGCTGCAACAAGAGACCCGAGGTCGGGGGTGAGAGAGGGCAGGTCGTGGCGACTGCCAGCGAAGAGCGGCCCCGCCTGGGCTCCCGCTTCCTGCCGCCAGGCACCTCCATCTTCCCGGCCCGAGAGGGAGGGCCTGCCTACAGCCACTGGGGCTGGGACCGCAGCAGGCCCGGCCCTCAGGACCCTCCCTGGGACGCCTGCCCTGGGACCCCATGTGCTCACTTGAACTGTGAGGGGGGGGCAGCTCCGGTGTCGGAGCCCAGAAGGAAGTGCTTCTGGGTGATGCTCCCTGTCTTGGTGTCCACGGTGATGACGGGGAAGCCCATCTGCAGGATCCAGCGGTCCATGATGGTGCTCACACTTTTGGGCAGCGTGACGGATGTCTGGTTGTCCACAGCCTGGAAGAGGAAAAGCCAGTGTCACGGTCCGGGGGAGGGGGGAAGAGCCGCGAGCACCCACGTGGGGGCCTGGGCACGGGCTCAAAGTGGTTGTTTACTGTGCTCATAGGTCTTTTTGATTCTTTTTCCATGCACATGCATTGCTTTTCCTTTTCTTTTTTTAAAGATTTTATTTATTTTAGAGAGGGGGAAGAAAGGGAGAAAGAGAGGGAAAGAAACATCGATGTGTGAGGCAAACATCGATTGGTTGCCTCTCGCACGTCCCCAGCTGGGAACCCAGCCCACAACCCAGGCCTGTGCCCTGACTGGGAATCGAACCGGTGACCTTTTGGTTCATGGGCCGGCGCTCAACCCCCTGAGCCCCACTGGCCAGGGCTGCATTGCTTTTGTAGTAACAATAAAAGTCCAACGCCTGCTAACAACTGAGAAAACACCAACAAAATCAGGGCAAGAACGCAGGCAGAAGAGCATGTCAGGGGGTACAGGCTGAGAAGGGGGAGCTCTGGGGGGCTGCAGAAAGAGGGGGCTCAGAGGGAGCAGGGGCAGGAGGGAGGGATGGAGTTGGAGGGGCTTCGGGCATGGAGGAGGGCTCAGCTTTGCAGGACAGGAGGGAAACTGAGGAAGGGCAAGGTAGACAGTGGAAGTCGGTGGGGGAGGACTGAGGAAATGGGAAGGAGCGGGAGGTGGACCGGGCTCATGGCCGATGAAACTTGGGCTGGAGGTTGGCCGAGGGGACACTGGAGCCCCGCTGTGATCTGTGACAGCCCTGGGTCTCCCCTCTCTGGTCAGACCGGCCTTGGAGCCTGGGCAACTGGGGGCTGGAGGGACGGGGGCAACAGTGGGGGGGCAGCCGGGGGCGGGGAGCCTGGGACACGGGGCTCTGGAAGGGTCAGTCCAGGAGGGCTGAGGAGGGGGACATGCGGGAGGACAGAGGGCGGGCAGGCTCCAGCCTAGGAGGGGCAGGAGGGGCAGGAGGGGCAGAGGGTCTGCCCCACAGACAGGGGGTGCTCGGGGTCTGAGCTGACAGGAATGCAAGGTGGGGCCAGTTGGGAGGGTCCCAGTTTGTGCTAAGGGTACTGGGGTGGTGCAAAGTTGTGCCTGGGAGGGGCCGGGAGGGCACAGGGCACCCAGGACTGCTGAGTAGGTTGAATGAATGGCTCCAAAGTTCCCGGCCCGAGAGGGCTTGGGCGTGGGCACCGTTAGGGCCTGTCTCCTCAGCACTTAGGAGAGGGGACTCCTGGGCCCCCATCACGGTGCTCCGTACCGGGGAGGCAGGCAGCCTGCTGGGGTCTTGACCTGCGATTTCTCCAACCACCTCCTTCAAGGGGCCACCCTAGTACCCATTTTGCACATGACCAAGCACGGCTCCACAGGACCTGCCTGGGTGAGCAAGTGGTGGTGCCGGGCACATTCCCTTCCACAGGTGCCACCGCCAGCGACTGTTAGCATCTCAGGCCCCCCACAGAATGGCTCGGAGGGCTGGCTGTTACCCACCTTTTGCAGGTGCAACCACAGGTCCTGGTAGGTGGCACTTTTATAGGCAAAGGCATGGAGATAGGACTGTGGAAACAAGGGCCATGGTAAGGGCAGAGCTGGTGTCCCAGGCTCTGCCACCCAACCTCTGTGGTGGGCTGGGCTTGGGGACAAGGGTCAGGGGCCGGAGAAAACCACCGCCAGCCCCACCACTGCCGCCGCCAGTGGGCCACGCGCACTCACCGCCAGGCCCTTCTTGAACAGGTCCTCAGTCAGGAAGCTGGAGAGCATCCTGAGGACAGAGGCTCCCTGGGGGATGGACAGGGGCTCAGGAAGCTGCGCTCAGCCGGCAGGACCCTGTGACCCCAGCGGGCCAGGACAGGGCTCCCGGCCTGTGGGCCGAGTCCCCTCCTCCCTCCCGGTGTCCCCACGGTCTCCGCAGGCTGGGGCAGCACCTTGCTATAGGAGATGGAGTCGAACATCTCACTGATCTGGGCCGGCGTGTTGACCTCCTGGGCGGGGGTGGTCAGCGGGTGGGAGGAGGTCAGGGCATCCACGGCCATCACACGGTACAGCTCGTTCTGCACTATGAGGTCTTTCTGCAAATCCCCGATGGCCGTTAGCACGCTGTCCCGGGAGCGGTGACCCAGGTCTTCCCTGCCCCCCCCGACACCCCCCAAGGCCCCTGAAGAGCAGGCTCACCAGGTTCCACGTGGGCTCCGCGTGGTCCGCACCCAGGTACTCCACATAGGAGGCGAAGCCCTCGTTCAGCCACAGGTCGTTCCACCAGGCCACGGTCACCAGGTTCCCAAACCACTGTGGGGGAGGGGCGTCAGCCCAGCAAGCCCCTCCGGCCCTGCGGCCACCAACAGTGCCCAGAGCAACCTTTCGGGAGCACCATCACGTGCCAGGCCTGGGCTGGCGACTCTTGTGACACCATTGTGACAATCCCCCCCCGCCCCGCCACTACCCTTCCCCCTCCTCAGCTGCCAGGGCAGAGCCAGAGCCCGTTCCATCGCCTCCCCAAGCCCCCTATTTCCTTCTCCGCGCTCCCCGGGCCGAGGGGTACCTGGTGGGCCAGCTCATGAGCGATCACAGTGACCACCCGCTCCTTGTTGCTGCTGGAGGAGAACTGGGGGTCAAACAGCAGGGAGTTCTCCCGGTAGGTCACCAGCCCCCAGTTCTCCATGGCACCGGCGTTGAAGTCAGGCAAGCCGATCTGGTCTGGGGAGGCCAGGTGGTTGGCAGGATGGCCTCTGGGCATGGAGCCCCCCCTAACGTGAGGCCCCTGAAACCTTCACTCACCAGATTTTTCAAGGGGGTAGGGTGTGTCGTAATGACTGGCGAAGAACTTCAGGATGCGGCCGGTCACATTCAGGGCGTAATCGCTGTGCCCGGCTGCGGTTGCGCTGGGCCGGGCCCAGATCCGGATCTGCAAAGAGGGTGGGGGTGATGAAGGCCCCTCCTGGGCCCCAGTGCCTGGACGAGGTTAAACGGGCAGGCCTGGCCAGCAGAAGAGAGAACAGGGGTTTCTGAGAGGCTGGGAGTCCCAGTGAGGAGCCTTTGGGAAATAGCAGACGACAGTCCTACCCGCTGTCTGTCTGCCTGGCACCCACTGGCTGGGAACGCCATTCATTAAGAGGAGCCCATTTTTCAGATGCAGAGACTGAGGGTCAGAGAACTTGCCTCAGGTGACTCAGGTGGGGTTCAAACAGTGACCTAACAGCTCAGGGGCCAGGACAGACGTGAAGATAAACAGGAAGATCCCTCAGGTGTGACCAATCGTGCATAGGACAGGCGGGCCAAGTTTCGTACCAGGACATTGTTGGGTGCCATCAGCTCCTCGCGCTCCACAGACGTGAACTCGCTGACGATGTAGGCCAGCAGGTATGTGGACATGACAGGGGTCGTGTGGAACTCAGTTTTACTCCAGGTGCGGTCATCCGGAAGTGGGGTGCTGGGTCCTGGGCACGACACATTCAGGCACATGGGCATGCACTCTCTCCCTGCCCTGGACCCCAGCCCTGGGCACCTTGGGGCGCTGGCTTCCCAAGGCTGTGTGGCCCCAGGACAGACCCACTCACCTTTGGGCAGCATGTTGGACAGGGCTACGAGGTTACTGGGGTGGATGAGGGTGATGTTAAACCGGGCCTTCATGGCCGGCTCATCAAAGCACGGGAAGGACTTCCGGGCATCTGCAGACTGCATCTGGGTCGTAGCCAGCACCCTGTCCAGACCAGAGTGTTAGAGAGTTTGCCAGCAGAATGCCTATACCCAAGGGTGGGGGGAGGCTTTAGGGTGTTGCTGGGTTTGCAGGGGAAGGGGTGCACAGAAGCTGGTCCGGCCTAATCCCTGCCCTCCCTGCCTCACTCAGACAGCGTCTGGGCCCTGACAGGCCAGCTGACTGGGAGATCAGAGCTCCTTCTGGACTCCGGGTCCAAGTCCTGGCAGGCTCCATCCCTGTGCGTGCAAGGAGACCAAACCTCTCTCCTTTGAGCCTCAGTTTTCCTGTCTAAACAAGGGGCACTTCCATCACTTGTGATTGACTGCCTTGTAGTAGGGGAGGGAGGCCTTCCAGGAAAGGGTTTGCTGTCTTGGTGGCTGCTCCCCGTGAGCTGCAGATGATACCACAGGCCAGCCAAGGGCTCTGGAAGGTTCAAGCCCTTCCATGGCCCCCAGACTCCAGCTCTGCCTCGGCACCAAGGACCTGCCCCCACCCTGGGCGGACCCAGCTCCAACTCACTTTTTGTTGGTGCCATCCATGTACTCGCTGCGGTAGAAGCCAGCCAGGTCATCAGCCAGTTCGCCCTGGAACTTACTGTCCATCTCGTACAGGCTGTCCTTCTGCAGCTGGCCCTTCAGGTGTACCACCAGGTACTCGGTGGCCTCTACCAGCTCGGTCCTGTCGATGACAGGGACCGGGGTATTCCCCACACCCCGCAGGGACACCATGTGGTTCTCTGGGGTCTTAGTGTAGTTGAGCTTCTTGCTGTGGATGATGATGACATCAGTGGGCTCCTTGCACATGAAGCGGACAGTGCTCTGGCCCTCGAAGATGTACAGACCGTCCTTGTTGAGGGTGAGGTAGGGCCTGAGTGTCACCTGGTAGGACTCGGGCTCCAGCGACTGGGGGAGGCGGTATCGGTTCCATGGCTTGCTCGGGTCCAACGTGGGGGCCACAGTGGTGGAGGGGCTTGTGGGGGTCTGGGCAGAGTTCTTGTTCTTCTCCTGGGAGTACACCACAGACAGGGCAATGATGGTGCTCACGGCCCCCAGGCCCAGGATGATGCCCAGGATGCCTAGGGGCTTGGAAATGTAGAAGCCCTGGGCCATGGCGAGGGTGGGCACGGGCTCGGGAGGCTCCGGGCAGGCAGGGGACAGGGCAGCCTGGGGCCAGGCTTATATTCTGGAGGGGAGGAGCCCCACAGCCTGCAGACTGGGCAAAAATTAACCAGGGCTTAGACAGGCAAAGGTCACTGCGCTGGGCAGGGACGCGCTCCCTCCAGGCTCCCAAGAGGAGATCCAGGAACAGTGCACCTGCTGGAAGAAGACGGTGTCTGGTTATGTGCTGCTGGTGGCCGGAGCCACCCGCCCACCCCACCCCACCCCGCCCCGCCTGAGGGCTGGAGGGTCTGGGGGCCCAGGTGGCACGATCTGTGTGCAAGCTGAGATGGCGGGGACAGAGGCAGGAGGGGCCAGGTTAGGACAGTGAGGGAAGGACTTCCCAGGAGCAAGAGGTGGGAGAGCAGAGAGGGGAAGAGCTGGTTTCTGGGTCTCAAACACACAGGGTCTCCCCTGTGGCCGGGACCTGGAGGGCGGCCCAGGCTCCTCAGGGACTTGCTGCCAGCCTCCCCGACATTCCTCCAGAGCAAGCAGGGCTCCCAGGTGCCCCCTACCCTTTCCCTTTGTCCTTGATTATCAGCTCACTGAGCACAATGAAATCAGCTGTTTTCCCTTTTTAAGAGAGGAAGCTGATGGAGGCTTAACCTCCTGACCAGCCGTGACCTTGGGTAGATAGGCAGCTTTCTCTCTCTGAGACCTCCTTCCTCATAATGATAGCGTTTACCTCTCTTGTTTAGCAGAATCTAAAAATCATCCCTTCCTTTCTTCCTCAGAGTTTACCCACTGCCTCTTTTCCTATCCTTGGTAGGAATGAAGATACTACGTATCATACTCAATAAAATAGGTTCTTAAGGGACAACGTGTTCGTTATGACCCTTCGGAGCCACCAGCCCGGTTTCTCAGACCTTGACACCAGCTGACCCTCCCGGCCACACCTCCCGACCGCACCCCCCCCATCTCACCATGTCCTTGTCAAAGCCACTCTCATTGGCTGTTTGGGCACTGCAGGACCCTCATGAACTCCCCGCTTCCACGTGGACCCCCTCAAAGCTCTTCACTACACAACTTGGACCATTATTTCCTGCCACTGCTTAAAGCCTTCTGTTTGGTCTTGGAATCCAGGCCAGGTCCTCTAAAGGGACACACAAGTCCAGGTGCTACCAGCCCACCCATTGCCCAGCCTCCTCTCACCGCATTCCCCCGTCCTGGTCCTCCAGCCCCTCTGGCCTTCACCCAGCGCCCTCGCCACAGGACCCTTGCACACGCTGTGCCCTCTGCCTGGGCCATCACTCCCTCCTTACCCGGGTTAATTCCTACTCACCCTCTGAGTCTTTCTCAGAGAAGATACCTGACCTCCTGGACCAGGTCAAGCCCCTGTTAGCTCCGTCGGCACCACAAACCTCTTCCACAAAGCCCTGTAACTCAGTGAATTTTCCATTCGACCTGTGTGACTGACCACATGAGCCCTGCCTACTGCCCCCACAGACAGAACGCCCTGTGAGAGCCGGGCCTAGGCTGCTTCCGCTCAGCAGTACTTGGCGCATCCCTGGCCATAGCAGGTGCTCAACACGTAGGTACCTGTTGAGTGAAGCCACCCGTGGGCGAGAGAATACATGAGTGAGTCGGTTCAGGAGTCCCGCCTTACTGAAGCCTTTCTAGCCCACCTCCATCTCTGGCCCTGGCCCCACTCTCGCCCTGGGGGAACTCTCTGCCCCCTCCCATGAGCCCACTTCCATTCACAGCAAACAGACAGGCAAGAGTCTGGTTGGGCCGAACGCACTGCAGGACTCGGGGCTCACATCTGTCCGCTCCCTCATCTCCTGGGCTCCTTGAGGACCTCATTCACCTGCCACCCCCCACCCCTTCCCCGAGCCTGCATGCAGGCTTGGCCAGTGAATACACGTGTGCACCAATGCAAAGAGGAGTTCATCCGGGCATCACCGTCATGGCCGCTACCTGTCACCTGGCCAGCAGAGGCCAGGCTCTGAGTGCTAGGTCTTCAGGGGATCCTCGGAGCCCATCTTTCAGAGGGAAGGGCCCCAAGCCCTCGGCCTCTCCCCCTTCCTCTCAAGAGGCCTGCCCCCAGGGCCCTGGCCTGGGCTGTGTGGACTTCCCACTGCATGGCCAGCAGGCAGCCACTCCCGGCAGGCGTGGGCCGATGGTCAAGGGACACTAGTGGGAAGCCAAGGGCCCAGGGTAGGGCTGCGACCCAGGCAAGCTGACACCCACGGGTGAGGAAGCATGTGCTCCCGGTTCCCTCCATCAGGGCTCGAGTTCGCCGAGGAAGGCCGTCTGAATAGCACCCCGGAAGGCTGGTACCCAGGCCCCACGCAGCCCCTGAGCCGCATCTCACCAAGTTCCCGACTGGGCCTGCAGCCCCCTCCTGCTTCTGCAGTAGAGAGACCCACAAATCTGCTTGGCCTAATCCCTTCTCCAAACAAAGAAAGAGGCCTCGCTTGGCCCACCGTAGGCTTTTCCTGTTTGCTTTGGATGGAGACCAGGGGCCCAGCTGGCTAGATTCTTGACTCTGTCGGAAAGGGCCTCTGGTCTTCAAAGCTGGCGCAGCAGGCGGCCCACTGCCCTGTAACGAGAGATCCCTGCTCCGGGCAGCCAGCCAGCCCCGGCTGGGGGCTGGGGGGCGCAGGGAAGGGCCCCCACTTCTGCAACACTGGACAGGGCCCCCTCCTTCAGCCCCTGCTGTGGCCCGGGCCTTGCCATCTCCTCACCCCCCAGAGAGGTGGCCACGCTGAACCTCCTGCCACCCAAGCACACCACACACCTTGGCACAGAAACCTCCCCGTCCTGGTGGAGCCTGCTCTCCGGCTCCTCACTGCCCGGAAGGTGTAGAATGAAGCCTCAGCTCTGGCTTGGGCCTCGAGGTCGTGAACTTGACCCTCTGGCCTTGCTTTCCAGGGCTCACTGAGGTTCCCACTGCTGGCACTTCCCCAAACCCCCTGGGTTTTTCCTCTCTGTGCCTTTGCCCATCCTGTTTCCACGGCCAGGGGTACCTTTTTTCTCCCTCCTGTCCAACGCCTGCTCCTCCTTCAACACCCAGCTGCAGTGTCACTGCCTTCTCCCGCACGGCAGCCCCTCTGCGCGTCCCTGGCCTCTGGTTCATACTATGACCACAGCGCTTAGGAAAAGGCCATCTACCTGTTCAGAGCTGCCACTAGACCTAGGCGCCTCGAGGGAAGGCTCGGTGGCTTCATACGCCCCTCCACGTCTCGCGCGGGCTAGGAGCCCAATGAATGCTGGCTGAGTGCATGAATGCTAACAGCTCCACTCCTTGCCATGGATTATAGGTCCGGCCTGATCCAGCACCACCCCCCGCGCCATGATCCTCTGAGCTCATCCTTCTCCCCTCTGCTCCACTGGCCTCTGTCAGCTTATCAAGCCCCCCAGGCTCTCCCCCACCCCCCGCCCCACAGCAGCCCCACAGAAGATGTTCTTTGGGCCTGGAAAGCTTCTGTCTTTCCTTCACCGGCCACCCGCCCGTCCTGGAGGCTCACTTTAGGACAGCCCCGAGCACCCGAGATGCTGAGAGCCACACAGATGGGATCCGCGCCCCCACAGGTACCCAGTACTCACTGGGTGGGTGGTACGTGCTTAGGGAGTGGATGCAGCAGTAAGAAAAGACAGGTGATGGTTAAAAACGGCATTCAGCGTGATCCCCCCCATCCTGGGACGCGCTTCCCCTCCACCCCCTGCTCTCCTCCTTGGGGTCCCAGGCGAGGCACACGAACGACCCTTCCGAGTTCTGCCATCTCTGCGAGCCTCCTGTACAGGGCTTACTATTTTTCTTTAAATCAGTTCGTGACTTCCTCTCCTTCTGAACAACAATGACCACAAAACGGGGGTTGTTTGTATTACGCTACATTTTTTTCCTGAAGTCATCCTATGTGGCCACGCCCACTTTGGGGGTCACTGCTGCATCCCGCGTGATGCTGGGGGTGGCGCCACATGTGGCTGCCTCTGGAGGGGAGCCTTTCGGCAGGTGAACAAAATGTGTGTTCCTTTTCCTGTCTCTCTCTTGAATGGGGAGAAACCAAGTACCTCAGGTCCACCTCAACCAAGGCAGCCTTGGTTGATTTCTGCCCTGCCTATGTTTTGGTCCAGAGGACAAAAATTCCCCTAAATTTAAAAAAAAAAAAAGTTAAGGTTGACAACAATCACGTGAGAGAATACTCAAGGCACATCCATATGTGTAGAAAACATCAACTGAATGGGAAAGGGCAGCTGCGTCTTGGCGACGGGGGACGGGTCCCTTTTATGGAAACATGTAAAGGCCAGGAGCCTGGGAAGGGCTACCTCAGGCACCCAGATGACTGCCGGTGACTTACAGGCTCTCCCTGACGCTGGGGCCTCGGGTTAGCTGCTCCTGCTCCCTCAGTCCCCGCCCCCACCAAACCCCCTGCATCCTGGCAGCTGCCGGGATAGGTGAGCTGGGAGCAAGGGACGACCCAAGCCCCTCTGTCTGCTCTGAAGGAGCAGTGCAAGGCGGGCAAAGACAGGGCTGGGGCCTCGGGGCAGGATACGCTCTGGCCTTGCTGCCTGCTGGCCTTCTCCAGGCTTCGGAGGCCTCTACCCGCAGCTGCACGGGACTGGGCTAGGGCCAGTCCCCAGGGTGCTTCCTCTGGGAGCCTCGGACACTGTCTGTCCTGTGAGAACCTCAGAAGGCCCCCTGATGGGAAGTCAACTCCCCTCTAGCCTCTGGGGCCCAGGGCAGGGCACTCAGGAGGGAAGCACACCAGCCACGGAGGAGTCATGCCAGGCTGTCTGGCAGCTCCCAGCTATTTAACTGAGCACCCACTATGTGCTTTACCAGGATCCTCACCACCATTTGGCAGCTGAAGAAACCAAGGCACAGAGAGGTTAAGTGGCTTGCCCAAGGTCACACAGCTCGCTAGCAGCAGGTCCTGTAGGCTTAACCACGCTGCTTCCTAAAGCACCTTCCCATGTGGCCCCTCCCTGTTTTCCATGGCGCAGTGCCCAGGAGGGTTAGAGACCACGGGGAGGGGGCGGGGGTGCCGCACACCTGTTACTTTGGTGACGCTGGGGGCACCTCCCCACTTCCTCCTAGCTGCGCCCTTGTTTCACCCCGTCATCACCCCACCTGTCTGCTGCCCTGCCTCAGTAACAGGTGGCCCGAGGGCCCATCTGCTGAGAGCCCCCTTCTACGCGCAGGCCTCCCCCCGCCCCCCCGCGACTGGCGCCCTGACCCCTGGGGGACGCTGGTCGCTGCAGCCCCCGGGCCAGGAGGCCGGCGGCCCGAAACCCGAGGCAGGGCTCACCTGGGCCCTGCCCGCTGCACTGCTGGAGGTTTGGAAGAGCAGGAGAAGGACCCCACTGGTCCCGTTTGGGGGGCCCCTCCCCAGAACAAGGGTAGGTGCAGTGGGCACCTTGATCTGTCTCCCCCAGGGGTGTCCCACAAGCTGGAGCCTCAGCTTCACCCTGGGAAACCCCACACCCTGACGGGGTGGCTGTATGGAGACAGGGAGACGATGACTGTAAAGCGGGTGCTTAAAAGGGGGAGTGCCCTTCCCTCTTCCTCCAGGGGCCAGGGAAGGGCTGGGGACAGAGGCAAACTTTCAAGGGTCCCGTCTCCTCCTCCTCCTCTTCCTCCTCCTCCTCCTCCTCCTCCTCCTCGGGCGCTATCTAGACCCCCAGGGATGCCGGTCAGGGCCAGCTCCACCCCACCCACGATCAGTGCTGCCCCACCGCCCTCTGCGCCCCTCGCTGCCGTCCCCAGCAGGGTGCCGCCCGCCCCGCCAGCCTGTCTCCCCACCTTTCCTCTCCGCCCCAGGGCCACCTCTTTAGGTGACAGGTCCCCTGCCCCAACTGGGCGATGAGGAGATTGCGGCGGCATCTCGGCCAAAGGCCAAAGGCATTCTTGGCTCCCCCTGGGCCCCCATGGGCCCGCCTGGGAAGGGGACGCGGGCAGCAGCAGATGTGGGGTTCCCTGTGCTGCAGCCCCCCAACAGCCCCCGTGC